GGTGGGGGGTAACACTGGTCAGGGACAGATTATTTATTATCTTGTCCGTCGAGGACAGATTTACTTATATTCAACATTAAGACTTTCGTTGAAAAATTATTTATTGATTATTCGACCCCCCTTCCTCAGAAAAAAATGTGTTTTTTTAATTTAAGAATTTCAAAATATATAGATTATTTTTCACATTTTTTAAAATTATATTTTTATAATATAGATCTACATATATTACGATGTAAGGCCGGAACAATTTTCTGGGAAAGGGGGTGGACGTTTTGTGAATAAAACGAGAGATGTTGGGCATAGAATATTAATTTACACCATCGTTTAAAACATAAAATACTCAGTATTTAAAATGTTAATTTAATCTTTTTATTTACAAAAAGCTGTAGAATACCTTGCCTATGTATGTTCTGGCATAGCTAATGTCATTTTTATGTCAATCTGTACAGTTTTCCCCGAGTGATACGTCACAATAGATCGAAAACTTGAGATGTGCACACTAAAACTGCACCTCTTAGCTGAGGTGAAACAAGTGCGCGGATCCTGGATCTTGCAATTTTTAAAGCCTGTTTTTTGTACTAAACACTTTTCACTTTCATTTCCTCTTGTGATATTTGGTTGTCCAAGTAAAGGAAAACGTTCAGCTAAAAAAATAATGTTTAAATGATGTACCTTAGTGACAGAATACCTTATATTACGTACAATGCCTATACGCCATTTTGATACAGAGAGAAAGTTCGGGAAAACAGTGTACCTGTGACGTCGTACTTCGAAAAATGACGTCGAACAGGAGTTGTTTGCAGTGCATTGGCAGTGTTGACATCGCCGCGTTTCACTGGCTATTTGTTGGATTTAATCGTTCTTACGACTATATGTTTTCAGTTATCGTGATGAATATGCATTGGTATGTATTTTCGTTCTCTTGCTCCGTGATTTATTTTCTTCGGGAGATCGGCATGTGCACATGGTGTAGGGACCCGGGTCTAGTCTTCATTCATGGATACTTGGAATGAAATACTTAGGATTTAAGCGCATCGTGGCAGTAAATAACACTTCTACAGTGTTAATTACCGTTTATTACGTACATCGCGTGGACTGATTAACAACACAGACCGAATACACATTGAATATGGATTTACTACAGGATTTTTAACTAACGCAACTGGCGCATGCCCAAAGGGGTTAGTCGACACCCGGCGGCGACTAACCCCTTTGGGCATGCGCCAACTAACCCAGTAAAAAGTTCATCTAACCCCTGCCAGTACATGCAAACTTGTTTACACCAATAAATAAACATACACAACAATAAATAAACAAACAAATAACAAACAAATAGATAAGAAGAAATAATTAACAGAAAATAGAATAACTTATTTAATGAGTTTATAAACAAAATCTTTACCCAAATACTCACAAAATATGCAGAGATCTAAGGCAACATTTTTTTCTACTGAGCTACAAATACATGTAAGGAGACTTAGTAGCTTATTTTTTTTAATTTTTTAAATTCCGAATGAAATAATTATTACTAATGAAGTGCTTTCAAATGGCAACAAGGACAATGATTATGTGATCTTGACAGTGACCTGTAACAATATGCTAAAAAAAATTGCATTTTCGAACTTTGTTGCTGTGTTTCACAAGCGCATCTTGTTTTTAGCTCTACTTGTCAGAAACCAGAAGAGCTTATGCGATAGTAATGCGTCCGTCCATCTGTCTAGCTGTCCGTCCGTCTGTCTGCAAACACTACTCCTCCTTAAATTTTAGTCTGATTTCAATATAACTTGGCACACAAGTAGACTATACTAAGATACATACAGAGTTCTTGAAATCTTTTTTCCACTGTCAGTCATTTGGACTGACTGCCACAGGAAGTTTGTCGGTCCAGAGTCCAGACAGATTTTTATCAGTCCAACAAAATAATTAAACATAATTTTAAGAAGATTAAAACTGTATTTGAATTTTATTATCATTACATTTCGCACCCTCCGTCATATACACACTGCATACTTTATGCGAATTTGATCATCGTATAACAAATTTCGTTGAATTCTCGTGGGAGGTCAATTTTCTTCATAAGTTTTTAATCTAGTTCGATTTTTCTCACCTGGCTAATACCTTATCGCCGTCAAAAACTTGTTAAAACAATTAATCAATCATAGTTTGGTACTTGCGTTCATCGAAGAAGCCGTAACAAGATGCTGAAAAGCGTTTAACAGATTATGATCACTCGGTTATAGGGAATTTGTACGAAATTTAGTCGGATTTTCGCAAGTTGCTTTCTCAACATCTACCGGTCATTTGGACTGACACAGAACGTAAAGTGATCGGTCCTTGGTTTGTTTTATCGGTCTTGCCGACAGGACCGAAAGATTTCAAGAACTCTGACATAATTCTGTGCATCAGTTTTTGATAAGTACAAACCAGTAGAGCTACAGTCTTGACAGAGACTTCTGGTTATTTTTTCTTCCATCCCAGTTGTTGCTAATGCTATTACATAATTAGTTTAAATTAGAATGCAATAGTACCTGGACATAATTTATCATTTCAGAGAGAAGAAAACTGTGCGACTTTAAAAGAAAACCAGTGAGATAAAATTATAGAAAATGTATGATGATTCAGGATGTGGTCATTTGGTAAGTGGTAATTCATTCATGATTAGTATGTATATGACAATTGCCTGAAAAAAAAAGATTCTAAATTTTATTTAAATACTGTGGTATATCAGCTGTGAGCTACAAGAAGTTTTATGTAAAAGCTAGGGCTGAAACAATTTGCCCCCTCCATGTTATGTGTGTATTGCTATGATTGACATACCATCAGTTCTCTAATACACACACTTCAATAAAACTTTGTCGTCTTGAACCTGAATTGAACAGGAAAAAACTCTGAGATCTCTACAAAAATTTGAATGAAAAAAAGGAAATGCTTATTAACTGATTTCTTGCTGGTCAGTATTTTGATTACTTAAAGGAAGCTCTAAAAACTGCACACTAAAGAGTTCTACTTTAATATCAGGTAGTTTTATGAAGTTAAAGTGATCTGCCCATAGATTAAGATTATGAAAAATGTTATTTTACAGTCAGTTAGATTATTTTTAATAGATTAAATTATTTTTAGCATTATTTAAAAAAAAAAAATAGGAAATTAATTATTTTCATAAATTTTCCAATGTAAGTAAACAGCAATGATTTCTGCTTACAGTCATAGTCCATTGTCTTTGAAAATTTCTTGGGGAAATGAGGCACATACTATATGTTCTAAATGAATAAAAAAGGCTCATTATGCACATATTTATGTGAAATATGATAGATTTTTTTCTCTTCAAGGAATAATTTCTGCAAGTCACTAAGTTTTTAGAGTTTCCTCTATTTTATAGATATTTAATGAAATTATTTGAAGTATTAAATTTTGGTAAATTTTCTGATACTAAAAGGTTATATGGATGAAAACACAGCATGCGAGTATGACAATAGGGCTTAAATTTTTAATGTCTCTTAATTTTTCAGTGCCATTAAAACAGGAATTGTCATCACCAATAGACGAATTTCACATTCCTAAGAGTTTCCTCCAATTGTCGGCGTATCGCTCATTTTCCCCACTTTGTCCTTTGTAAGTTACTTGTTAATATTTTCAATCTTCAAAAATATTGGACAATTACGATCTGCATGCAGTGAGTTGAGGCTACATATGGAGGTTTATATACAAAATATCTAATTAAATTCCATAACTGCTTTACCTACCACAGAGAAAATGTTAAGACTTGTTTTCTAATACATTCTTGGTACCCACGACATGCGATGGCCAGTACACATTATGACGTCATATTATGACGTCATCGACCTCTACTACACAAGTTTATAAGAAACATCAACAAAATCGCTTCGGCGCAAGGGCATACCTTACTTTGTTTAACAGAAACAAGGTATAAAAAGACGCAGGATATTCAAAGGATTTAAGATATTGCTGCACAAATGTCGGCACTGCAATTGTTTAGTTACTATTCGTGCAGTTTTAAGTTTAAACAGGGTAAAAATTCACAGTCCAGTGTAAGTTTCCTAAAATTTTTATCGATTGAGAAAGTGCATAGGATTTGTGCAGCAATTTTATTAATTTTAAGAACATTCTCTTTAATATTATACATTGTTTATTTTAAATTAGATAGGATATGCCCTTGCGCCGACGTGATTTTGTTGATGTGATTCATTACCTTGAATGGGAGAGAACAATGACGTCATAATATGACGTCATAATGTGCACTTGCATTAATAAATTGTGGGTACTAAGTATGTATAAGAAAATCAATTTGAACTTTCTCTGTACACAAAATATACAATTTATGAATTTTTATAAGCTCATTTGCATAGATATATCCATATTTAGCCTTAACTCACTTGCCTGTATCTGTATATTGCCAGAGTATGGGGGCAACATGAAAGTCATAATGATAATGTTCATACAGATTTTATTTCTAAGATATTGTCCCTCAAAGTTGATACGGTTAAAGAGGGAAAACAGCGTCTTAAGCAGGTTGACCCCAGATCGACCCTGCGAAGGGGAATAACTTTTGTAAATGTGAAAGTCCTTTGTGGTATATCATATAGATCTAAAACTGACTGAATTTTGATCAGCCAATTCATGAACATGATGAATGGATGTAAATAATGTTGGTCAATATATGTAAAAAAAAAAATTAAATTACTTGTTTATATATACATTTGTGTATCTCTCCCATTGAAGTTTATAAACTTGTTATTTATTTCTTAAATAAACTGAGCGTACATGCAATACCGGTATAAAATTACTCATAAGATACATGTATACTTTAACCATGATAAAATCATATGTGTCCAATGCAGCATATGATAAATCATTAACATACAAGTACATGTGTATATATACTGTAAAACATATATATTGCATTATTTTTAGGTCCTGTTCTGTGGATGCCCTTAGACAGTGTCTACCCATCACTCCATCTGAAATCACTTGTTCTGTCATCTGTGCATATTTCTCTCTCAAACTTAAACTACAGAGAGCCTGTGGATAGAGGATGAAGAGTGACCTTGGACTAATTTTCTAGGTCAAAGGTCAGTATCAAAATCTACTGTATATCTTTTTTTAAAATCGTAGTCCAAAGTGTATCTCTCCCCTGGTGTAATCTAGCTTTTGTGCAATTTTTTGTTATTATAAAGGGTACTGTATACAGGGAAATTTTCGCCCACGTTTTATTTTCGCCCCTTTTGTCCTACCCTCATTTGGGCGAATTTAAAACGGGACGAGTTCAAAGAATACAGTAATATTTCGTTAACAATAACTATGACTGGGCGAATTTAAAACGGGGCAAAATTGTTTGCAAGTGTGAAAGGGCGAAAATAAGACGGGGCAAAAATAACCCTGTATACAGTATGTTTTCTCTCAAACTAATCAAACTTAAAGCAGGGTTCTTAGTATGAGATACATGTAGTAATATATTCTCAATGACATAATAAGGCTGAAAACATTATTTATATTATGTTATTTTTTTCACTTATCATAAAGCATTAAATATTAAAGAGATACATTAAATGCTGAAATCATATGTATCATGGTCATGGAAAGTAATTATTGATATTGGTATATTAAAGGACATTGACTGATCTTTCAGATTTCTAAGTTATATTCAAGCATTATAATTCTGACATCATATAATAATTTTGTATGAATATTGCAGATCATAGGTGATGTGAAGAAAACCAGGAAACTGATGTTGAAAGAAGTACTTAATGACCCTTATGAATGGACTTAAATGTGAAAGACTGTTCCATTGTTTATCTAAGATATATGAATTTATTTAATATTTTGATATCATTGAAAAATTCAGTTACAGTTTTTGTACATCAAATGAATTATTAAACATATAAAATGGTAATGCTTTTTTCTTTTACATGTAATAAATTTTTTTGATAGATTTTTAAAAGAATACGCATTATTTCACATTGCTTCCTTTAGAAAAGTTAGGGAATCTTGAAGTTTCCCAGTAATTTCCACCAGGAATGGGACTCCAGATAATTCCACCAAGTTTCCGCCACACAGAAAGTGCTACACAAGTTCCATATAGTTTCCTGAGTCAAGGAAACTTCAGGAATCATAAGGTTTCACGAGCTGCCATGTAGTTTCCCATAAAAGAAAACCTTAAGATTCCATTCCACGGAAACCACTACGCTCATATTCCATATGGTTTCCTGAGTCAAGGAAACTTTTAGGAATCGTGAGGTTTCCCGAGCTTCCATGTAGTTTCCCGTATAAGGAAACCTAAAGATTCCATCAAGTTTCCTTTCCACGGAAACCCCCTACGCTCCGATTCCATATGGTTTCCTGAGTCAAGGAAACTTTAGGAATCGTGAGGTTTCCCGAGCTTCCATGTAGTTTCCCGTAAAAGGAAACCTGAAGATTCCACCAAGTTTCCATTCCATGGAAACCCCCTACGCTCCGATTCCATCAAGTTTCCTGATGCTGGAAACCAGTGGAATCTTCAGGTTTCCCATTACGGGAAACTACATGGATGTGCGGGAAACTTCAGGTTTACAGAGGTTTCCGTGGTTCGGGATACCTTATGGAATCGGAGCGTAGGGGGTTTCCGTGTCACGGAAACTTGGCGGAATAACCTAGCATCCGCTACGGAAACCACTGGGAAACATGATGTAAACTTGAGGTTTCCATGTGGTTTCCATAAAGTTTCCCATGATGGGAAACCACTTTTTTCACCCGTATATATATTTTTTGTGACAAGACCTTCCATTAGATACCAACAATTGACCTTTTTACCTTGACCATGGAGATTGACCTACTTTAAAAACTTTAACCTTGACCATAACTTTTGAACGGTAATTACAAGAGCTTTTCTTCTTCACATTATGTAATCCTTGTTTCAAGATAGTTCATTGGATGCCAACAACTTAGACCTTGACGATTGACCTACGTTTTAAAAACTTTAACCTTGGCAATTACTTTTGAACGATTAGGCCTAGGGCTTTCATAATTTCCATATGTAATCTTTGTGACAAGGCCTTTCTTTGGAAACCAACGACCCCCCCGAGTACGACCTTCCTTTAAAAATGTTAACCTTGGTCATATCTTTTGAACAGGTGGTGCTAGGGATTTATATTTCACATGTTTATTTCTTTTGAAAAGGCGTTACTTTAAGTACCAACATATTTGATCTACATTTGAGGAAGTTTATTCTTCGCTATGTTGCCATACGTGGGCATCAGTGTTTCACAAACACATCTTGATTTTTAAGATTTTTTAATGAACTCTTCTTGAATTAAATAAATTTTGATAGCCAAATTGTTATTCATATTTATTGAATCGGTTTAAAATGGAGGTCCCAACTGAGAATTGGAGTTTGAATAAATTTTCCTTTATATATTAATTTAAAAATGAATCTGACGAAAAAAATTAAAATAAAGGAATAATTTTTTTTTCATTTCTCTTTATAGCAAAGCCAATATTTAATAAAAAAAAAAGAAACTTTTGATTTTATTGTTAAGTTTTGTAATATTCTGTTGTATATCAATTATAGTAGTACAATACTGTAAGGCACGCTTCTTCCATTTATGTCAGTTTGATTTCTAAGGATTTATCTGGAAAAAGAGGCAGTATTTTTCATTTGAAAATGGGCTACTTTTCAATACCTGGCAAGATTATCTGATAATTTAACTGTTAACCATGTTTACTGATTTAGTTAACCTTTACTTGACATGTAACATTTATTTTTGATTTATTTTGAGTTCAGACAATGAAGGAACTAATTACTGGAAATATTCTCACGCGAATGACCAACCTGTAATTCATCAATGGATTTTTTTAAAGTCTTAATATTACACATTAATTTAAACAGTTTTGAAAGACAAATGGGACAGACTTAACGTGCATTTTAATTTTTCTTTGATTAAAAAAAGCAGAAAGACAGTTTTTAGTAAATTATTACCAAAGCCGTGACCTTAGCTCGATTTATTAGACAGAAACTACTTATGAATGTTTTCAAAACAATAATAAATAAAATTGAAGCCTTTTTTTCCCTTAATTTTTTTTAACCTTTAAAATCTAAATTAAAAATTCGAAAATATTTGTACGGTGAATTACACATCAATGATTAGCATTATATCACATGTAACAATGAGGTATTTATAGGGATTTAATTCAAAATAACTAATGCATAATGGGGAAAAAGGCAATATTTAGAATTGTTTTTTGTAAAGAAATAAGGGGGAAAAATTATTTAGAGGCTATAGCTGTAAAATTGATTGCAGGATTGAGATTTTTTCAACACCAGCATTAGACGCTTTTAGATTAAAATGTGGCACATGTAAATTTTATATTTACAAGTTACTGGTTGTGTATGATGCAGGATGTTATATTAAAAAAAATCCAAATTATAAGGTCACCTGAGTAAACTCAGGTGACCTATTGCTATCAGTTTTCGTCTGTCGTCGTGCGGTGTGCGTCGTGCGTTAGCATCTGAACATTTTCAGCTTTTTCTCTGCAACTGCTGAACCAATTTCAACCAATTTTGGCATAAAGCATTTATGGGTAAAGGGGAACAAAAATTGTGAAATTCATGGTCCCAGTCCCCTGAGGGGTGGGGCCGAAAACCACTAAAATTAATGCAATCTTAAAAAAATTTCTTCTTTACTCCAGGACATCAAGCAGACAAACTGTTGGTATGATTGTAATAACCATTGAGTCCTCTACCAGAATTGTGAAATTCATAGCCCCTGGGTCAGGGGTTCTAGTGCTAGGGTGGAGCTATATAGATTTTATAGTAAAAATGCATTATTTCTTTGAAAATTTTCTTCTCTGCTCCTGAATATTAAATAAACGAACTAAGAACATAGTTATGATGAGCGATAATGCCTCAGCCGGAATTGTGAATTTTATGGCCCCAGGGTCAGGGGTTTTGATGTAAGGGCGGGGCTCTAATAATTATATAGTGAAATACATTAATTCTTTGAAAATCTTCTTCTGTGCTCCTGGGTATTAAAAAAACTAAGTGCATAGTTATGATGAGCAAAAGTGCCTCTTCCAAAATTATGAATTTTATGGCACCAGGGTCAGGGGTTCTGGCGTTAGGGCGGGGCTCCATTGATTAAAACATATATGTAGTTAAAAAAATACATTAGTTCTTTGAAAATCGTCTTCTCTGCTCCTGGTTGTTGTGCGAGTTACGTGGCGCGTCATGATATACCTACGTGCAAGTCTGTGTGCTTAACACACCTATAATTTACACTGAACTTAACTGAATTTTTCACTGTCCTACATATTGTTCCATTGTGTAAATGTAAATCTCTCTTTATCTTATTTTGTTAAGTAAAACACTTTAATATTTAAAACACTTGCATGTACATGTTATACATTGCTTAGCAAGAAAATATTGTAGATGTGTAAACTAATTTTAACTTGTAACTTATTATAAGTTATAATAAGTTTATTACAATTTGTAGTATACAAGTACACCTACAAGAGAGCTTGCTAAACCTCTCTAAATAACACTCCAATGTTTCCAAAAAAATTTAGTTATTCATTTTTTTTCTCGGTGTTTTAACTCCCAGTAGGAGTTGAAACACCTCCAGAGATAACTACATTTCCGATGCAAGTGAACAATATAAAATATCCAAGTCTGGATTCATACAAAAACTGTTAATTTTCAACGTAGAAAAAACTTGCTTAATCTTAACTGCGCAAAAAAGAATATTTAAAGAAAATACTTGCATGATTGACAAAATTACATTTTTTACACAAACTTATATGCAAGTCAAATTAAAGAAGGAAAACAAAAGCCATTGATTTTTTTATTTCGTTTTTTAAGATCAAGGATATGTTTTCAGAAAATTAGAATTTTGTTTATCTCAGTGGTATTGCATTTGCACAATCAAATTCTTCCCTCAAAAACAATTTGAAGAAATTGAAAAAAAACTTTTATATTAGGGCGTAGCTCTCATTTCACTTTAAATTTATATACCATGGCATCGTACATTCTACAAGATTCATATCCGGGGATTCCGCAGGCCAGAGCATCACAAGGATGTTTTTCCCCCCTGAAATTGTTAGATTGTTCTAACGACGGGGGGGGGGGGGCAAGAACCGGTCTAAGAATGTCATTGTGATACCTCTGCCGTTCAATAACTTTAATAATGGAGTTTTCGTGTGCATCGACATCCCTACCAACTGACCATGTCAGTTCCGCCACCACTTTTATCAAGTCTTCAACACAGGCCTCATTATGACGTTCTCCTTGCCGGCGGTACACTTTCTCAGTCTTCTTCCAAAGATCTGCGATGTCTTCTGGCCTATACAAGACTTGCAGCTCGATGTCTTTGGGTCAACACTAAAAATTTCATTGGACGTCTTTTAAGTACAATGTACGTGTATCTCTTTTAGGCGATTTCGAACTGTCTGAAATGATATTGGACGGCCATGGTTATCGTCTGTTTGTCTTATCGATCGTTACTGTTGCTGACTTAAATTTCTCTCTGCATTGGTTAAGAAACACGGAACGATCTTAAACCCTTGTTGCTTTTGGGCTCTCCGATGATGATCCCAAACACTTCGGGTGTGGTTATTTTTTTCCAACTAAAGCTTACGAATAGATGCAATTTGTTGATGAAATTGACGCGCAACCAGTAGGGAAAAAGCGCAAAAGTTTTTTTTGATGCTTGCTGAGTGATTGTCAATTTTTAAATTAACACCAAAATAAAAGTGAGTATAACCTGTCATAAGGACGATCCAGATATGGATAGCCCTAGCAAAACACAATTAAAAAATTGAGTAAGATTTATGGTTTTCTTCAAATGAAAGTCGGAGGCCAAAGCCATTAAATAAATTTTGGTATCCAATGTAAGTTTTTTTACCCACGAGAAATATACATATGATATATGAATGTCTTATTATCCATTGTGCAAAATGTATGACAAAGGTAAAAGTTCTTAAAAAGGTCAAGAAGAAAGTAAAAAAAAATGTTGGTATCCAAAGAGTAGTGACGGTATACTAGTATATATGAATTACAAAAGGTGAAGGTTAGGGTGAAAGTAAAAAAAATGTAGGTATCCAAAGAATGGTTTGATATGTGAACTTTTTACAAATGTTAAATATGCACGCTCCAGCTCGTTTTTCAGAAGTTGTCAAGGTTAATATTTTTGTGAAAAGTAGGTAAAGCGGGCGTCAAGGTCATGAGATCAAAAATATTGATCTTAATTAAAGAAAGGTCTTATAAGAGATGGACAAATTCATGTAATCAAAAGTACACGCAAAGTTTAAAATTTTTGAAGATCTTGGCAACGTGATTAATGAAAAGTAGATAGGCGAATCTATCTACATCTACATATTACAGCGTTCCATCAAACCTGATGATTATACGCTGGCCCTGCGCAGACGGACCTCTAAATTTTAATTATAAAATGTATGTGAAAAAAAGAAAAAAAACAACTAAGTGCCATAGAAGGTATAAATAAACCTAGTGCAATGAAAAACAATTTACAAATTTGTGCATGAAAAATGTGTATTTACATTGTGTTCTACTTGTTTTTATAAATATAAGAGTTATGGGACATAGCTTGGGACCAGAGTTCTGAACTGGTCCAGAGAGGCCGCTGCCACAACTGAGTGTGGGAGAGAATTCCACGAGGTTACTGTATGGGGAAAGAAGCTAAATTTATAATAATCTGTTCGTGTACTGAAGGTCTGAAAATGAAGAGGACTAGTATTACGTGTAATGGTCGTTGTCTGGGGTACTAAATAAAGGTTTTGATCTATAGCCACTAATTTGTGTGTAATTTTAAATAACATTATAAGTCTACATATATTTCTTCTATTGTCTAATGTTGGCCAATTTAGATGATTTAACATATCTGAGACACTGCTAGTATTGTGGTATCTATGTGTGACATATCTTGCAGCTCGTCTTTGAACATTTTCTAATTTATCTTTAAGTTTTTTTGTATGAGGTGCCCAAACTGAAGAACAGTATTTGAGGTTAGACCTGACCATTGCTTTATATGCCAAAGATTTTGTTTCTTCATTTTTTATCTGCAAATTTCTTTTTAGAAAACCCAGTATTTTATTGGCCTTGGAATGGACAGTCCAATTTAAATGCCCCGAATCTTCAAAAAGGGCCCTGTCAAAAGTGTTCCAAATCTTAAAAAATTATTACAAATTATTACACCCACGCTTCATACACGTGGATTTCCCAACGTGAGTGTCTTGTCACTTGAGGTCAGCTTCAAGTGCAGTTTTGAATGAATGATAATATTTATAACAACAATTAATGCCATTTTCATTGTAAACAACCTCCCCTTTTACATTTATCATCGGACGTCCACCTTCACTATCAGATGTAAAAGTGAAAATGAATTGCATCTCTACAACTTTATGATTTACTTTCGTTGTGATTTCTTTCTCTCAGTGTATAAGCTTGTAAAAAGATAACATAAACCACAAACTAAAGACGATCTTTTATTTATCAAAATTACATTACGCACACAGTGAAACGAAAGTAAAGCAACACATTCATCTGTCAATCATCAAAACATGGAGTTTAGAATCCCCTTCAGATGCTTGGCGGATGTTGAAAAAGGACAAAAGAGTCTCCTTGTTCTCGGTTGATTTAATACCACATGAAACAATACGTAGAACTCGCCTGATGCCGTTTTGTGGCTTATTTACTTGAATTTCTAGCCCCTCTCTCTTAAGCCATTCCTTATCTTTGTCCAGAGAGTAATCTGAAATGAAAAGTAAAAAAAATGAAACGATTAAATCGCTCCATATACATGTGCTGGATATCACAGGAACGTACCTGTTAAAGTATTAACCTTCAGGTGAATGGAGGAAAACCGATTTACTGTGAAATCATTTAAGTGGGGTTGAATTTTGTCTTTTATATCGGCATTCAGAGACCCAAGAAATAATTCATGATAAAAGTTTTTTCTCCACAAAGGCGAATTCGAATTCCCACGAACAAATGTTTCTCCCCCTATTAAAACAAGGAAAGGTGTTGAATTGCTTCCTATATATTATTTACATATAGCCGATTTCTGCTGGATGGAATATATATAATTTGATTAACGCTACCAAATTATTATAAAGAAAAAATATTTCATTTTTAAAATGTTGAATAGACATAATGTTTTAACTCTTTTTAAACAAAATGACGATAACTTGATACTAATTTCGACTTTAAAATCTGAATGTAGGGCTTTCATGCAATTCAACATTGTCCGACGGACTGACGGACGGGTCAAAAACATTATACCAACATATTATACCCAACGCAACTTATTAATTATCAGTGATATCTTAAAGATATGTGTTGATCATTTTCTACACTTTCAGGTGTATCTGATCATGTGTTAACTGACACCAAAAGGTCACAAAACACTACGTACATGTTTTCACCATGACCCTAGCTAATGCGATTGAAAAAAAGTGTGCTTTATAACTAACTTGAGAATTTACGTGGACTTTTGCATTGAACAGAAATACTCTTATGAAGTTTTAGACCCGTTCATATCAGCCTATTTTTAAAGGGACAACTGAGGTGTAGCTCATTTGAATTTGTAACCAAGGATAGAATTATCAAACTATTAACTTTTTTAAGTACTTCAGCTATATTTATTTTTCATTCAATAAGGTCCCTGATAGAATACTTCCTTGTTGTACATCTGATCAATTTCTTGGTCAACACTCTTTTTCATGAGACTGAAGAATTTTAATATTATTATAACATCATATTAGCTAGTAAAAGTTAAAATCCGAAAGTATTTAAAAGTATGCTAAGTCAACACGTTGCTAACAAAAGGTTATTTATAAGTATGCTAAGTCACAAAATTTAAAAGAGGAGCAGTGAGCTCTCTAGACGCTACAACGATATAAATTAAGGTGGTGAAAGAATTCAGACTACTCTTTCAAGTATATTTAAGGTAGGATTCTTCTCTGGTTTCTGACTAGATGAAACATTCAAAGTATATTTGCTTATATATCTCATATACTGTGGTGTAAGGAATTTAAAAGACCATATTTTTCTTTCCTCATCACAATTGTACAACTTTAACTAGAAATGGTAAACTGCGTTTGAAAACTAGCAGGGACTATATTTTTGGCAAATGGTATGAAAATATCTTCTTTTCTGCCTCTCAAAATATAATAGAACAATGAGTTTAGTTATAATTTTTACACAATCGAAGACTTGAAGAAATTTTCAAATGTAAGTTAAATTAATAATGAGGGACTAAACTTTCAAAATATATCAAATAAATATGATCTTTCAAACAAACTAGAACTTTGTTAGCTTTTAAACGCTTCCTATCAAAGTGCAGATTTGAGCTAAAAATCCATAAAAAGTATTTTTTCTCTATATGTAAACGATCAAAACTTTTTGTTTTTGTATCATTTTGTACATTTATGAGACTACTTCATTATATGTGAAAATAAGAAAAAGTTAAATATAGGAAGCATATGAAAATAACATATATCCTGAAATATTAAGAAAAACAGAGAAAATTCGGATTAGCCAATATCCAGTTAAGTTAAATTATTTATGTAAATTTGGTAACATCATGCTATAGACCCAATATAGTAATATGTTTTTATGGAAAAGGAACAATCTTTAAACTTTTGAAATAGATGTAGGTATCACATGATTGGCAACAGTATTTTTTTTATTCTTAATGTCAAGGAAAAAGATAATGACCTTGACCTGACCTTGCCTCTAATATAAAACGGTCAAATTTAATTTTACTGATACTATCACTTACTGATATTGTCTTCTTGATTCTGTGAAAATTTCATTAATTTTTAAATATTAGAAATATGTGAAGAATCCTACCTTAAAGAACGTTTTTCACGTTTTCAAAAACATTTCCAAGACGTTCAGTATAGCAAAGTAAGTAGCAGAGGGGCATATTTTAGGGATAACCCAAGGAAAGCTATTGACAACTTCTGCAACGCGTCGGTTGAGTATTCCCAAGGATGTCGTTTTCAACTCCTACCCTAAAAATGCGCACAAATACCTTTTTAAAACTGAGTTTTGATTCCATCATTAACTCGTGAATTTCCCTCTGTAATCATGCCCCCGTAATCAAAGATTGGGAGGATATTGATTTTGTTCTGTCTGTCTGTTTGTCCGCAAAAACGTTAACCTTGCCAATATCTTTTGAATGGTTGGGGCTACATGTATGGCTTTCATATTTCACAGGCGCATTCCATGTGACAAGGAATTTCTTTGGGTACCACCAAATTTGACCTCTTGACCCTGGAGTTTGAAGTACTTTTACAAAAAAATACCACACTTCAACCATTTTGAACAGTTGGAACAAGGACTTTCATTCCTCACGTGTGTATTCATTGTGACAAGACCTTTCAGTGGGTATAAATATTTTTGACCTTAATCTTAGAGTTTGGCCCATTTTTTTTAAATCTTGAACCTTGGCCATAATTTTTCAACAGTTAGATCTAGGGCTTTCATATTTCACAAGTATATTCCTGGTAACAACTTCTTCCTGGGTACCAACGTTTTTGTCCTTTGGAGTATGACATACATTTGAGACGATGGAACATTTATGCTGCCATACGGGGGCATCAATGTTTCACAAACATCTTGTTTTCAGTAGAAAAAAAAATCTGTTTAAAAAGTAAATACAGACAGGGAATTATAGTTTACTCACCAGCTTTTAAGAGCTTTGATGCTATCTTGACACAACCCTTGTCAAGTGTATTGATAGCAATAAAAAGTGCAGTTCGTCCAAGTGTATCGGTTACATTGACGTCACTTCCGTGTCTGATCAGGTAGTCAGCAATCTCGTAGTTGGAGTCTTGAAGAGCTATCAGTAGGGAAGTTTTCCCTGTATTATCTCGCATTTCTATATCAGCTCCTGTTTAAGCAAAATTAATACATTTTTTAGCTTTCATATATTTATTGTCCCCAGCTTTCGCAAAAGCAAATTAAAGGAACATTAAATCTCATTCGTCTGTCCGTCTGGCACAAACATTTTAACCTTAGGCCACACCAATTTAATTTCTTGTTCGTCGGACATTTGATGAAAAAAGTACGAGCGGGCTAGCGGTTAAATAATAATATTATTACTTTATTGTAGGCAAAATTTTTTAGGCGGGGCGTGAAAACATTTGAGCGGAGAATTTTATTTTTTCTGATTTGCAGAGTGAGTAGATTAAAAGTACGATAAATAGAGCGGTAATGGAACACAAAAATTAATATTATTTGTATAGTTTTGTTTAAATACGAGCGCGCGGGTCCGACGAACAAAAATTTTATTGGTGTGGCCTTACTCATAACTTTTGAATAAGAAGAGATATAATTTTCATATTTCACAAGTGTATTACTTGTGACAAGATCTTTCTAACTATACAATAATTAACACCGTGGCCCTGACCTTTAAATTTGACCTATTTTTCAAAATATTAAACATCACTTTGATTTAACTATAATTTTTCAAAGCGAAAAGTTAGGACTTTCGTATATCAACGTGTGTATTACCTGTGACAGGGCCTTTCTATATGTACAATCTTTTACCCCTTTCATGAGTTTGTGGCTTGGTATAAAGTTTAGTTTACGTGGTTCTGACTATATGGTAAAGGGTAAAGAGTTACTAGTATTCTGTCTTTTAATTTAATAACATTTCGATGTGGACATAAGTATACGATTTCCGAAAAATGAATGCCCTGGACAATTTTATATCAAATGGTTTGCTTGTCAATACATGTGTATAACATTTCAAAAAATTCGAAAAAAATTATTTGTTATCGAGCTTCCAAATTGCAAGATTTAAAAAAGTAGCATTATACATGTACATGTCAATATCAAATGAAAATAAGCTTTGCTTTAATCGATATTTTACATAAAAAAGTTTTATTAGTACAAATATATAATATGTGAAAAATATTTATCATTTATCTCATTTTCCTGCATTTTACTTCTCACGCGTGTGTATTTTGGAAAAAATTTGTCGAGACTTCTACTGGTTTGTACTTATAGCAAAGGAAGAGAAAAGTTTTATCAGTTGGAAATTGAAACTTTTCAACAGCAATTGCAAGATTTAAAAAAGTAGCATTATACATGTCATGTCTTTATAATCAGAAGCATGCCACATTTATATTATAATCAGACTAAAATTGTATTTGGAGTAGCATTTTGAAAGAATTTCACAGAAATTTCTATTTTTAGTAACACGTAACTTTAATCGATATTTTATATAAACAAGTATTATTAGATACTAAAAATAAATATATTATGTTTAAAATATTTATCTTTACAATGACAACACATGTTCATCAAACAAAAACCGATAAACAGAATGCCAGGGGTCCAAGTTATATTGAAATCACGTTGCTATTGGAAACTTTCACAGAAATTTCTATTTTTAGTAACCACGGCAACACCGTTCTGAATCAAAAACTATATCAGAATGTACTTATGTTCTACTTGTGTGCCAAGTTATATTGAAATCAGACTAAAAATTGATAGCATTTTGATCTTTCACACAAATTTCCATTTTATGATAAACACCGTGTAACAAAAACGTGCATTTGTAGGTGTCAACTTGTGTGCCTTATTTATTACATTATCTAACTGTTTATGAAAGCATAAATTTGATTAGTGTATCTTCTTTCTCTGAGAGAAGCAAAAATTGAATTTTTTCCTCAGAATACATTAAGCTTTTAATAAACATCTTGTAGGTGCATTTGAGGTATCAACTGAATCTTTTTAGTTACATTATCAAACTTTTTATTAGGAATAAATTTGATTAGTGTATCTCAATGAGAGAAGCAAGTCTCAAAATATCAACGTGTTGATTCGGGACCCTGGCATTGCGTGAATGGTTCTCAAACTACAAAATAGTGCTTGTACCCGAAAAGTTGTTTATTGTCTGCTTAGAAAATCAAGATAACAATTTCTTGATTTTTTTTCAAATCTTGTAGAATTATACAAGCCAGTGAATTGCGAAAATTAAGTGTCCTACTTGATATACATATACAAATGGATATCAGAAGAACACGATGTTTTTACAAAAGTATCAACCTTCACTTGAATGGAGGAAAATTAGTATACTACGAAAAGTTAGTAATCAAAAGTATAACGTTTGATGCAAACAAACATTCCCACCTTACCTGCTTTCATTAAACATTTAACCAACTCCAAATCATTTAATGTTATCGCGCACATTAGAGGAGTCTGTCCCAAATCATTGCTGGTATCAATCTGGCAACGATCTGTAAAGAACGAAACGATAGACATAAGAGAAAACGCAAGGGTTCCATATACAGACTTGTATGCATGTTTAGATGTTAAATAGTATGGTATTGCATGTTAGTATGTTTTATATGTATATTAATTTTTTTACCATCGGATAAAAACATTTCCACGATATCGACATTCCCTGCTTCCACTGCCAAATGAAGAAGTGAGTTTTTATCTTTGTTTCGAATGTTTGGGTTCTTTCCAGACAACAAATAGTTATTAACAGCTTTTACCTCGCCCTTCAAAACACACTGAAAAATGTCATTTCCTATAACAACATAACCCGGATTGTCATGAGTTTCCAGCACTTCTCCATTTGATGCGAGTCGTTTTCGTCTAAGCAAGATTGGTGCATTTTTAGCAATTTTCCTTTTGGATTGAGATTTCGTAAGAATTAAATCCATTTTTATCTCTTTATTGAAAAAAAATAGCAGTTTTCCTTTCACAAATTCGACATAACACGATACGAAATGAAACAAAGGTTCACTCAGTAAACCTTCCCGTCGGTACACTGACCTGTTTTATGCATTTCCTTCATCAGCTGTTCTGTGCATTTTTATGGCAAGAAAGGTCATTGAATGTTCCCATTCATCAACAATGTAAACCCTTGACCACCCTTCAGTGGATTTCTGATAACCTTATAGCCTATATCTTGACATCTTGTCGCGTGTATTTCAACTTCACAGAAAATGGGAGAATCATATTATTTTTTTTTTCAATCTGTTGCCTATAAGACAAAATGATTAAAGACACACAAGTATATTGCTTAATGTATGGTGTTGAGTTTTACGGTTCACCTGTACACATAGTGGGCAGTGACTGTATGCAGGAATTCATGTTCCATCTATGCAATGTAATTTTATGACGTCAAGAGAATAATTGGTATTACATGCAGTAAGTAATGAACATGAGTAAAATCAAGACTTGGCATAGAAAAACAAGTAAAAATCATGTTTGAGGTATGCATGCACTATATATTAGGTAAAGACATTTATGTATCTAGATGAAATACCGCGCTTCGATTTTTTTTAATATCGGGTTTGATGTAATTCGACGTTCTAGAATTTTCAATAAAGAGTGAGCTAGCACATGAACGGAAAGAATTTGCAATAAAGCAAGTTTTGATTGAATAAGTCACTAATTATGTTTCAATGCCGATCCACGCAGAAAACATATAAGCGAGGTTAAACCGGATGCCATGGACATTCGTCAGGCTACGCATGCGGAAGAATGCAAGGGTAGTCTGAGAGTTCGACCCTAGGACAAGTTGCTCGTAGAATAATTCGTCTTATTATACCCCACGCAACTAGTTGCGTGAGGTATAATGTTTTTGACCAGTCCGTCAGAGTGTCAGTCAGTCCTTTTTTTTTTGTCAGCGCAACTCCTCATAAACCGCTGCACAGAATTTCGTCAAACTTTGCAGGTATTTAGGACACAATGTGTAGATGTGCATATTACCAGGAAATTCCGATTCCATTATTTTTGCCGAGAATTTCCGCACTTTTTAACTTAGGCATTTGGTCATACCTTGAATATAGAGATGAACAGTTTGTCAGAGCAACTCCTCATAAACCGCTGCACAGAATTTCGTCAAACTTTGCAGGCATTTAGGACACAATGTGTAGATGTGCATATTACCAGGAAATTCCGATTCCATTATTTTTCCGGGAATTTCCGCACTTTTTAACTTAAGGCATTTGGCCATACCTTTTATATAGAGATGAATAGTTTGTCAGCGCAACTCCTCATAAACCGCTGTACAGAATTTCGTCAAACTTTGCAGGTATTTAGAACACAATGTGTAGATGTGCATATTACCAGGAAATTCCGATTCCATTATTTTTCCCGGGAATTTCCGCACTTTTTAACTTTAGATTTTTGGCCATACCTTGAATATACAGATGAACATGTTGTCAGCGCGACCCCTCATAAACCGCTGGACATAATTTCTTCAGACTTTGAAGATATTTAGGACACAGTGTATAGATGTGCATATTACCAGGAAATTCCGATTCCTTTATTTTTCTGGGAATTTCGGCACTTTACAACTTAGATATTTGGGGATCGATATCTTGAATATAGTGGTGAACAGTTTGTCAGCGCAACTCCTCATAAACTGCTGCACAGAATTTCATCAGACTTTGCAGATATTTAGGACACAATGTGAAGATGTGCATATTACGGGAAAATATCAATTCTTATATTTTTTCCGGGATTTTCAGCACTTTGAATTTTTGGGGAGCGTGAGGTATGTGAGCTTGCTCACTTTTTCTTTCATTCGAACTAGAATATATCATTCATCGGCAAATCTCGCTTTTAAATCTGCATATCGTATTTATATATTCATTGGCGCATCCGATTTTTCTATTACACATATACTTTTATATACAAACTAAACATTGATTCTATGGCACAGGCATTTTAAAAAGTAGGAAGAACTAAGTCTTGCAGAATATAGATATTAATTTAACAACTTGAATTAAAAACTTTATTCATCGACTAGTTCTAGCTTCTAAAAGATAGAACAAGTCTTCACGGGCATTAGATTTGAAAATTTTAAATTAAAAAAAATATAAATAGCGGCAAAACCTACAGAAAATGCCATTGTGATCCTATCCTGAAATAATTGATTTTTCACTTGGATGATGTCACCACTAAAGACCGATCTCTTATGGCGACAACGCCTGCCACGACATGGGGCTTTGGATTTCGCAAATATATAGTCACATGACATACATGCATTTCTTCCTAACCACATTAGAAAAACAGCCCAGCCAATAGTATAATAGTAAAAAACACTAAAAAAAGCAAAAACGTGGTACACAAAAAAGCTAGTGTACCAAATTAACAAAAAAATAATATATTATACATTCTTCACAAGGAAAAGTATACAAGTTAATAGATGAAATTGATTGATTGATTGTATATTGTTTAACGTCCCTCGAGAATTAATTTTTCACTCATATGGAGACGCCACCACTTGCCAGTGGAGAGCTGAAAATTTTGTCCTTTACTTGGCACTGAGGGCGATTGAGCAGGGAGGGATATTTTTCATGCCAGCACCTACTGCAACACGGGACCTCAGTTTATACGGTCTCATGCGAAGGACCGGTCTCCACGTCCCAAAGTGGGATTCAAACACGCGACGTAAGGATACTCCTTACTTCGCGACTCTAGAGCAGACGCTCTAACCACTGCGCCACGCGGGCGACTGGATGAAATTGTAAGAATCACCAAAAAAGGTGGTAGAGGGGAAGAGGAGGTTGTTGTAAAGTACTGGGGCTTCTTCTTCGATTAAAAATGGCTAAAGTGAATTTAACCAGGTGATACGCTTAACTTCATTTGATTGGTCCATAAAGGGTCACCCAAAAGGGATAACAATTTTATAGTAAATTGCATTAGTTATAATTCATACAAAACGTGTACGTGGCGCAGAGGTACACTTTGCTCTAGTGTCGTAGAGTCAATTGCATCCTAACGTCGCGGGTTCGAATCCCTCTGCAATACGTCGAAAGACGTCCTCCAAAGATAAAAATCATTTGTTTCATCTGTCCTTGAGAGCGACATTTGCAATAGACAGACTTATCTCTTTTGAGGGTTGTCGGATAAAGATATTTATAAATTTTTTAATCAAATGATGAATAATTATGTTTTTGTTCAAGGTCTTAATTGAATTGCATTGTATTTTAGGTGATTTGTGTATTCTTTGATGATGAGATTCTACTGAGTGGAGGGGATTGGACGCATTGATTTCTCAATTTACTTTGTACTTTGCTACAGCTGATTTTTATTTAGATTCTTACACACACACACCCCAAACACACATGTATTGCTGTTTGATCTAGCAGTGGCAAATTCGTGGTAAATTCCGGGATTCAAAAATAAATATACCAACATTAAGGACAGATGATACAAACAAACTTATGTCAAAAAATTGAGTATAGCAACTTGGGTCATGTTTAAATGAGTAAAATGAATAAGTTTAAACGCGTAGTTTTAATTTTTTATTCAAAATTTCACAAAAATCGGATTTGAAGTGAAAAATATTTGTATATATTAATAAGGATGGTTTCAGAAGGGTAGACTTTTGAACATCACAGAAAACTTACAATTTTTTTTATATCCTAGAAATTTGTTATTTGCATCATTTCCAATGAAATTAAGCCAAAAAATATATACCGATCCAGGTATCCATTTTTTGTTTGAATCATCTGTCCTTAAATTAAGAAGTTTGTAAATACGTATTATATTCCAATAGTTTTGTCTGCGCGAAGAGCAGTAACTGCTTTATGTATCAATGAGAATTCTCGGATTTGAATTACACCTGTCCTGTAGTTATCGGACGAAACTCCTGTAAGGGAAAAAGGGGGGGGGGGGAAACCCTCAGCTACTGCCATTGTGTTATAAAATAAACTGCAGATTATCATGATAGGATTTTTTTTAAAACACTTTATTAACTGAATGAATAAAAACACTACTTAAAGGTGCATAGGCACAGATTTGAAGGTAGTATTTTCTCGGTGTATATTAAATTATTATTTCATATTAAAGTGATTGAAACTTCAAATTTTTGGACGAGTTTGGTTGATATATCCTTGCACTTTCACAAATTTTAATTTTATTCTCAATACTTAGCCATGCCATATATTATGAACAAAATTTATTTACACGCAATGCTTATTGAGGATAGTATTTTTTTTTGTTTTGATCCCATTTTTGCATGGATACATGTATTTCATTTTAATCACATACGCCATTTTTGATCTTTTCTACGATATCAGCACTAGGGTGTCATCTTCGGATTCGATTTTTTTTTTGCACCTGACTGCTTTATTGTCACAGTTTTTAGCCTGGAATAAGGACCCGTGTTCGTGCTGATTATCTTGCATTACCTTTGTTTACATTTTTTTGCAGTTATGTATTTTGTTTGTTAGTTTACTGCACTGGCCTGTGTTATGGTATCTTTCCCTGTTGCATTAGAAGTACACAGTGCTGTATAGCATAAGTCTGTACATATCGATGACGATTAATTATACTGAAAATTGACTAAATAAGCGGCTTTATATTGCGGCCCTCGTATATAGCGAGAGTCCCCATCGAATATGGCGAACCAGTGCCTTTTACGAATCCTCTACATTTTGAACCTTTTTCAATATTATCCTGATTAAGTAAAACAGCACATTTGGGTCACGCGCAACCTCAGACTCAGGAATTAGCTCGTTCAAAGGTGTTGTGGAGATCTACTTCATCAAACCGTGATTATGTCCCTTCTTAGTTCTGGTTTGTTTATAGATGTTTTTAGATATATCATTATCAGTCATCTTATAAGCGTCACCCTTTTCATTTACCCTACGATAATGCCCAAAATGACTTCGAGATTGCTACCTCTGTGTAAGTTGAGTCT